AATAACAGCGCGACGCTAACCCTCAAATAAACACACACACGCACTTACAGAGTAGATCAGCTGATCGAGTTTCATGCCTACAGCGAAATCAATAAATAGCCTTGTATTTATATCGCAGGGCACGTCAGAGTGTGAGTCTGTGTGACTTCACATCCCAGACAGCTGTTTTAATTAACCCAAATAAAACAAAAGCAACATCGTCAACGTCGCTATCGCCGCCTCGTTGCATTTGTTATACAAATATATCTCAATGTGTAATTACAGTGAAAATAAAATATATAAATAAGCGGGCGTTCGTATGACGACAGCATCTTCGAGCAGTTGCACTCAAACCCCGCACACACATACACAGACACAATGCCTTCACAACTGTGCGCGACTCGTGGCTGCCTGGTATTGTTGTGTCTGTCGCCGCAACGACGCAATTGGGAAAGCTGAGCTTTTTCGCCGGTCTACTGTATTGTTGTTGTTGTAGATGGTGCTTGACCAGCTGAGTTGCTGCCGCTATGCGTGCGAATTGCGCAGCAAAAATGCCGGTTGACTTTTGGTATTAAATCAACCAAAACAAAAAAATACTTGTAAGTATTTGTTGTTTCTTTGCTTTGCTTTGCTGACTGCTATAGCTGTAAATGAAATATGTGTGTTCAGTGTTGCTCGATGCAGTAAAATGTAGCTACTTAATACAGGAAGAAAAAAGCTAAAAATCTTAATTACGTTAATTCAGAGTAATATAAAGATAAAGGTAATTCAACTAGAAAATTAATATGGAATTTTACAACTGATTTAAATAGACAGCCTTTTTTCTGCTCAACAAGCTGACAACTTAGTCGTGTTCTTTATTCTGCTTGTAATCAGCTGTTGCTGATTCATTGAATTCACTGCAAATAACCGTTTGTTCAATGCTGGAGGCGAAAAAACGGAACGGAACTAACATAGAGATGAGCCGTGGAATTTATAGACCGCCTTTCCCATTTGGCACTGTTAATGACTTTTTTGTGCAGTTTCAATCGCCATTGATAAAAAAAATTGCAAACTAGCACCGTTACAAAGCCAGCAACACAGTCATTAAATCCGGCGAGACGACATTCCATGTAATCAACAGCGACAACAAAAAAAAACTAGCCGAAAGCTCAGCTTGAAAGCCTGCAATTGACGACGACGACGACGATCTTTAAGCGTCGCCAGACGACGACGACGACAACAGCGCTGCCAACGACCGACCGACATTTTTGCACTCACACACACATGCATAGCTACACTTGTCTGCTGTCTGTCTGTAAGTAAATGCAGCTGTGTTTGTGTGTGTATGTAAAGAAACCCACAAAGTAATTGATCCATTGCACTTATGCTTTGCTAGGCCGCCTGTTTTTGTTGTTGCTGGCGTGCAGCTTTCTCTGTGCGCTCTTTGCTTTCCGCTATTACATTCTTGCTTGCGAAAGTGCTGCATTCGCTGCTCTCCAAAAGTTATCGTTCGGTTGTTGTTTTTTTCTTGTCAATCGTTTTCCAACACCACCCACCATTAACCGTTAACACACAAAGCAATTACTCTAAGCGCGCATACATTTACAATTTTACAGTTGCACAGAAACTCGAGAACCTATAAAGTAGTTGCAGTGAAAGCTCCATTTATGGACAGGTTAAAGAGCTGCTAATTTGTTTTGACACCTAAATCCAACTTTTAACTATTTAGATAATAAGACTATATAATAATCATATATTAATTAATTTTAATTTGTGTTTCATTTGATGATATAAGCAAAGTTTAGCTTTTGTCTCGAGGGTCACATTTAATTTTCCGTACTCTAGAAAAGCTATTCCTCTTGATTTTAATTAACACATAGAACGAAGCATAAAATAATTTCAAATTACCAAAGCAGCTGCATTAATTGCATTTTGTGGCCAAAGATAATGCTGCACACACAGTCAACAGTGGGTAAGGGTCACTGCGTAGAAAGAGACGGCAAGCTTTTTTACTACGAGCTGCAGCAACTGAATGTACAGTGCTACAGTTATAATGCGCCATATACTACGCACGTTGCGGCATATAGCTGACATAACGGCCCCTATATACTACTATATATATAGATATGTATGCATAGATGTATACGTGCACGTATATATGGGTGTTGGTCGCATCCCGGACAGCTGGGCTGCGCCTGCAACAATTCCGCGCCAAAGCGAAAGGTTGCACGATGCCAATGGCCTAGTGCACTGTTTACACCCTCTGCTCACCCAACCGGCTGCCGCCCACATGCCACGCCTTTTCAGCTGCAGACAAATGAAAAAAAATCTTGCTACGCCGGCCCAGGCGAAAAACAGCAACAGACACGCGGCGGACAATGCGCAGCTGCGGCAATCAAAAAGCTGAACGCCCAATTCCTGGCCAAGGAAAAGAGAGAAAGATATATAGAGAGAGAGAGAGAAGGGGGCATCCAATTACCCATACCCAACACTCTGGCTTTTCTGCTCTTCTCGCCTGTCACTTTCCAGTCACAAATAATCGTCATCGGCAAACAGCTGCCTACCAGGCGCCAGGCAGGCGCCACTGTTTCATTTCGGCAACGAAATGGCAGTGAAACAAACTAAGTTCCCCTCTCTTGTCCCCCCTCTCTATCAGTGTACGCAAGGACCACCCACTTCGCCCTGAGAGCATGTGCGAGCGTTGCTCTCAGCTGTGCTAGTGGTGTGAGGGAAATAGCGCTAGGATAACTGGGCCTGGCTGTAGCCTCACACAATATTTTGGTTTGAGTCTGTGCGCCGACTACAGTGAGTCATGGCTAAAGAGAAAGTATTCTAATATTGCAAACAAAATAAAATATGCTTTAGATATACAGGAGATAAGTCTACAGTTTTATTACTACACTATTTTTATCATTCACTAATTCACTCTAGTTAATCTTTACTGTATTTGTCCTGTCTTTTTCAGACAATGCTGTTATTCCCTTTGCTGCTCCTCTGCTTCGAGATTGGGAAGTGCTGCCAACTTGGGGGTTGTTGTCGTGCTTTTGGCGCGTACTGGAAAGCCATGCGAAGCTGGATCGATATTTTAGGAGCTACTACGTAAATTGTAGCGTATCGACAAAAAAAAAAAAACATTCCAGTTATGCGTCGTTTTTCACTTGAAGGGGGATGGTGGAGTACAGTGCTCAATTCGCTTCAGCACTTTAATGTAGGTTAGTTCAGCTGCAAAACAGGCAGCAGCGGACAAAACTGTACGCAATTGCGCTGCACTTTGCACTTTGGCGCCACCTAGCGAGCAAGTTCAATGACCCGCCTCAACGAGTAAATCACAGACTACTTGGCATAGTCGCCCACTCGTGTCTGCATATATACATAACTGTTATATACATATTGTACATCATAGAGCTGTTATATGCACATGTGTAAGTGACTGAGTGTGTGTGTCCGTGTGTATAGGCATAACTGTCAATGGCACAGCGGCTGTCGCCACTTTCTGCAGTGTTGCAATTTTTCTCGCACTTTTGTGTCAACTGAAAGCTCTGCATGCATGTGGCTGTCTGTGCGTGCGTGTGTGTGTGTGCGTGAGCTGCATTCGTCGTGCGACCTGATTCCGATTCCGATTGTCGTCGTCGTCGACAGTTTGTTTTCGTTTTAGGCCTAGTCTCAGTCTCAGCACGACCACCAGCAACCCATCCCCGGCGCACCTTTTATACCCCTACCTAACCAAGAGTGTAGCTTACTCCAACTTGGTCAAGCAAAAAAGCACTTTTATTGCCATCTCTGTCGCACAGAAAACTACTACATACTACAATGTTTACTATGTGTGATAATGCAGCAGCAGCAGCCGCAGCAGAGCGCAAAAAATCCATAAACTACTTGCAGCTGGGACATACGCTAAGCCGCCCACCCAGATGCTCTCTCTCTTTCTATAGCATAGCATGGCTGTTATACGCCCATTATGTCATTCATCAAGGCTCAACACTGTGCTGTCGACGTCGCTGCTTTTGCCCTTTTTCCATCGTTTAGTGTTGTGCGTGGCGTAAAGTAATGTTTTTTTATTTATGCGTTTTTCTTCCTGTTTACATTGTTATATAGCCGTCCCCCTTGCACTTAACTCTTTAACTCAATAAGCTGTCATGTTGTTGTTTATGGTGTGCGCTTTTTAGGACCTGCTGCACTCGTGATTTATGTTTCTCAGTTTTGTTTGACATTTTTCAATTTGCAATAAATAATAAGCACAATAGAGCAAACAAAAAGGAATGAAAAAAGTGTATAACAGTGTTGCAAAATACGCCAATTTCGAAAGAGAATGTTGTCTGGCGCGGCAGACACATAAATTATAACTTAAAGAAAGTATGCACATCAAATAAATCCTTTAGCATTTAATATGACAGTTGTTGATTTACAACCGTCTGCTGCTTAGACACCCCCCCCCCCCGCACTCTCACACACGCACATACAGATACACTCACTCATGCACACTCAGTGAAGATGTCGCCGCAGCCGCCACAACAAATCGATGTTTGTTTCAAGGTGAAAAAATATACATACAACACCAATGCGTGGGCATGCAAAAAAAAAAATAAGAGAAGCCTAAACAACAACAAAGGATGACGACAAAAAAGGTTGCCATATCAACGAGACTGGAAAAGGGACCTTCATGTGTCAAGTGCTGCGCTGCTGACGTAGAAGTTGGCGTGCATACCAAAAGCACAGCAGATGAGGTTTTTGGAAAGTTACAGCAAATGGAGTGCAGCGCAAGCGAAGAGAGAGGCAGCGGGAGGGAGTGTATGTGTGAGCCAATTTGTCAACGTGCGATAAGGCAAGTGCTGTTGTTGCTCCTGTGGTAATGTAAACGAAACGAACCGAAACTTGAGCGAAGTGTTGAAGCGTAAATGGATAACATAACAATAAACCAATACATGTGCACTACACACACTTAAATGTAATCCAATTAGTCCAGCTCAAGCTGTTGCTGTTGTTGTTGTACGTAGTATGTAGCTCCTCTTATATTGTTTTGGTTTGTTGGGTTAACTTACCTTGCTCAACTTTTCGCCCTCGTGTCGCGGCAACAGAGAACGTAAACTCTGAAAACCGGCATTGATGCTCTGCATGCGTCTTCGCTCATTGCTGTTGGCTATTTCCCTTCTCATCCGTTTCTCAGTGTCCACTATGGGTTTGCCGCTTGGCGAACTGCCCCCATCTCCACCTCCGCCATCTTTTGTAGTGTTCGATGCGCTCATATTCGATTGGCGTCGCTGCGAGCTGGTCGTAACCTGATGCGCCGGCTCGGTGGTGTATTCAATGTGATAGGTATTCTCCCCGCCTGAATCTTCCAGTTGTAATCTGCAAGAGAGCAAGAATAAGAAAAATTGCATAAATAAATACAAAATATAATAATAAAAGTGAGTAGACGTGATGAATATTTATGATACAAAATCAATTAACTTGCACACTCGCACACACCCACACACACAAACACACTCACACTAACAAAAATTCATTCATTCATTCATAAATTTACAGTTCCATTCAATTCAGTTTTAGTTTAGCCGCACACACACATGCATAGACAATGGGCAGCGAGAAAAATGTACGTATAACAAATACAACAAAAACCAAGCCACAGCAGCAACAGCAGCATAAAAAGCAACATGTCAGCGAGAGCAGCAGTTTGTGAGCGTGGGAGAGTGAGAGAGAGTTTTTAACAGCTGTCAAATATGACTTTTTGGCTTTTGTTATTATTGTGACTCTTGGATTAAAGTCGTTGTTGCTATCGCTGTCGCAGCCGCTGCACATAATAGCATAAGAATTTCAAGACCGGTTTTTCACACACATACACATACACCTAAATTATTTTGCTGTGTGTGTCTAATGAAAAGTATTTGTACAATGGCATGCTCAGGCCACAAAAACATGAGAGCCTGTGTGAATGTAAGAGATGCAGAGAGAGAGAGAGAGAGAGAGAGCAAGCGCGCAGTGCTTGTGTATTTGTAAAGTTGCAGCACTGCATTCCAGCAGCAAGACAACAGACGGCAGCAACAGCAGCAGCCACAGCAGAACGTTGAAGACAACAGCGATAGAAAATCTTAGACGTCGTCTGGTTGCATTGGTTTATTTTTAGCAACATGCCATTACCATCCATAACAAAGGTCGTTCGCTGCAGCATATTTGTTGTGGAGTTAATACCCTGTTTCGAGTGTGCTGCAAGCTAATTGGTTATGATGTGCGCATATATTTAGTAACATCAAATTTATAGAAAGTCTTATAGAAAATTAAGATTTATAATAATAATTCGTTTTAAAAACCTAACTGATATTATAATCTTTTGTTAAGCTCCTACTATCGCACATAGAGCATGTTATAGTCATATAACATATATACTCTGTTTTTCCTGCATTCTTTACTGAGAAGTTGCCAAACTTGGTTAAGCGGATGTTGCTGCACTTGCTGCTGCTTTTGTTATTGTTGCTGCCCTGGAATTTCTATTTGCAAACATCAAAAGCCACACAAGCGGCTGCTGCATACATAAAAAGCTGAATGAAGCTGCGTCAAGTGCAAACTATTTCAGGCATGCGTTGACAAGCTTATTCGCATGCATACTAACATATACGTATGTACATATATAAGCACTAATACATGTGATTTATAGTATTACAGTTTACAGTGTGTGTCGTGCAGACACGCAAACAACAGCTGTTGCGCTTCATTTACATACGCAGCAGCAGAAGCTAAAAATAGCGATCATGTTAAATTAACAGCGGCAGAAGTGTGAATTCGCTGGGTGCTAAATGATTACATGTGTGCATTTAACAGCTGCAGCCGGCATGGAAGCTGGTGCTGATAGCAGTGAAAACTAGCTATTTTCTTTAGCAGAAATTTATAGAAATATCAACAAAACAACAATCTTGTGAATAATAAGAAGAGAATTTCCAAGTAAATATACTTGTAGTTAGATTAAAAAGTAATATATAGCTGCTTCTAGCTTATTTTATTTTATCATTTAGCTTTTTAATTTAAGCACAAACTAGCTAGTTAGCTGCCTAAATGTGTCAGCACTGTTGTTCATAATAAAACACATGTTTAAACAATATTTTAGAAAGCTGTGCGCAGTTTTTTTCACTTTTTCTTGGCATTTGAATTATAAATTGCAATTTACGCATATTTTGCATTTCAGCAGCAGCAAAGCCGCATTAGCAATAACAACAAGAAGAACACATGACATACAACAGCTGCTGTCGCTGCTGCGGCCCGGGGGCCGACTCTTGCTGCTGCCCCAAAGTTCAATGTAGTTCATTGGCCACTTTTCGCCAACAGTACATACACATGCATATATGTATATGTATCTTTGTATATACATATGCAGCTAAACAGAACAGACAAAGCCGAAGTCACGAGTGCCGCCGAGTTGTTGTTGCTGCTGCTGCTGCTGCAGTGCACATAAATCGCATGCATATGTATGTATGTATTTATGTACGTCTCTGTACGCTTATTGGGTCAACGCTTACGTCATCATTTTTGCCTGGAATTCGTCGGCAGCAAAGCTTTGCCCATTGCAGGTGAAACACAATCAACTTTTAATTCATAAAAATTAACTTGTATTATATAATGGGCTGATTAATATGAATATTATATACATATACATACTAATTATACTCAATTTGTAAATGTTAAGAACTGAACATATATAAATATATATATATATATATATATATATATATATATATATATATATATATATATATATATATATATATATATATATATATATATATATATATATATATATATATATATATATATACCTATGTATATAACTATTCCTGATCAGCCATTCTATAGGTCTCTGTTTCTAATAATTTCATTAGGTTTCTTTTCCTTTTATATCCCAACGAATTCCAGATTGATTTTCTTTTAGTTAATCAATCCAATTGGTTATGACCTAAATTAACAGTGCTCTCATCTTTTATTCTCCTTTTATATGGACGTACTTTTATGACCGACTTGATGAGACGCAAAAAGGGCATGCCAAGCATCTGTTGCACTAAAACACAAACATTATTTATGCCCAGTCACGTACCAATACACATACATACACACGCATGCACACAAACATAAACATATAGAGCTCACTAAATGCTAAAAAGTTAGTGGATGAGGGTGAAGCAGCAGCAGCAATTGGCAAAATGCGCAGTAAAACGCAATAAACTTTGCCACTTGCGTAATGTGCAGCAAGCAACAAAGTAGCATAAATAAATGAAAAAAGTTTAGAATAGGCCCCCACCACACATTCACCCTGTGCCCGTCTCCTGCTTAAATACACGCTCACTTTTCGTCGGCCTTTTGGCGCCACAACTGCAATAAAAATATAAACAAAGAACGCCGACTGCAAAAACGCCGTTGCAATTTGAAAAGAGACGCGAGTAAGTGCGAGAGGGTGACACATAACGGTTACATAAGACCACACGTACACATACACAAACTCTTGCATGAGGTAATTCGAGATGAATATGTGCCAGGTGCAAGGTGCGAGAGGGAGAGGTAGAGGCCAAATGATGTCTTTGCATGTTGACAAAAACAACAGCTGTTGAGCGAATTAACAGTATAGCGAAGCATGGCAAGCGTGCACACACACATGAACGTAGAGCCACAGCTGACGGTTGCGTTAATCTTTAATAAAATTTGCAAGTCAAACTATTTGCTTTACACACACAAACACACACGAATAGAGCAAAAAAAAATACAATCATGTGTTTTTCATCAATAATTCGAGCAAACGAATTACTGCCGCTTTCAATCGTTTCATCGCTCGCTCTTACCCTCTCCATTTCTCTCTGGCTCGCTCATATGCACCCACTCTCACTCTCAGGCAGACGACGCGCAGGTTGCCCATAAAAAAAATGCCGATTGCAAAAACGCAATGGAAATTGAAACAGCAGCAGAGCGAAACGCTTGACATATGAAACAGCCATCGCCCAAAAATTTGCGCAGCAGCTTTTATCTTTGCCATTGTGTGTGTATGTATGTGTTTGTATGAATATTGTTTTCTTCTTGGCTTTTTTTTCGCAAATTCGCTGTTTTGCAGTCGTGTCAGTTGCGTCGGCGTTGGCAGCGACAGTGGCAGCGGCATTTTGTGTATACGTTTTTTCAATGAAATGTTTGTAGTAGTAGTAAAATGCGCAGCGCTGTGTGGCGGCATCTGTACTTTTGCTGAAATTCCCCTTTATTAAGTGCACACTCACGCACACATATGCACGTCCATAAATACATGTGTATACTCCCACTCTCACTCTCTCGCTCTTTTACGCGCAGTGTCTTATTGTAAAGGAGCAACAAGCTTTTGAGTGCAATCCAAACCTCACTCACTCGCTCACTCCCAGACAGGGGCTTATATACTTCAGCCACTAGCAAAAGGCTGCATGCAGAAACGCACACATAAAGACTGGTGCTTCATCATGAGCGAATTTACAAGCGTGGCCAGTCGCGGCGACTTCCAGCGTGTGGGGAAAACGGAAATGACGCCACACACAGCCCCTCACACACATACGCATAAACAGTGTGAGAGCATGTGCAACGCGCGATTGGAGACTTTTAGCGAAGGCACTTGCCGGGCAGCTGTTGTTGCAAAGTTAATTTCGAACTGTATGCACTTTTGGTATAAAATTCCTAATATTTACTGCTATCCAAAATAACATGTACGCATTTACAATAAATATAAATAGAAAAGTCAAAATAAACCTGTCAGCTGTTTCACAGCATTTGCTCGGTTTGCAGTGTTGATAATTTTAACCACATGCAGTTATACAATCCAAACATATGAGCAAATGCCAGCCTGCGTTTTATTGATAAGCCCAACGCACACGCACACCAAGGGAAAACCTTGAAGCACTCAGCTGCCAGTGGGTGTAAGGGAGAGCGACACAAGGCGAGAGAGAGAAAGAATCCGATTGGTTTCTTTTACGACAGACGCTCTCCTCTATGTATGCGTGAACATATGCTGGGCTGCTGTTGAAAGCAGAAAAGCGGATACTGATAACAGGCAAAAACCATATGATTTTGATAAAAATATAAACGAAATAATGCCGAAACGAGCCGGCGTAACTTTCGCCGCAAACTTAAACTGACAAAATACCGAAAATATCAACAAATAGAAAAAACTGTACATTTCAACGTTTTACAGTTCACACTCACACACACACATGTGCATTTTAACATTCTCTTTCTTTCATCATTTGCTGCTCATTTAGTGCTATTGTGTGTGTCAGTGTTGCTTGTTCAGGTAGCCGCCGTCGCAGTCGCCGCTGTCCATATGATGATTATAGAAATATACCGGTACAGCTGATTTGGTCGCAACTAACATAGCTGTTGATTAGACAGCTTGTCACGATAAGCAGCGGCAGCGGCAGCTGTTTAGCAGCAGCAGCAGCAGCTGAGAGAGCTGGCGACAGAGAGCAACATCAGATCGCAATATAATCAAAGCGTGTTTTTTCATACAATGAAGTTAGCTCAACATTTTGACCATCAGTGTAATCCGCTGGAATAGATGCGAGAAAACAGCCGTTTTTCAAATATGGCGAGTGTAGAACGTAAAAACACAACACAAAAAGCAGCAAGGCAGAGCAAAAAAAGTAGCGTCACCTTTTTCCAGAGAGACGCTGGCATAATGAAACAGGCAGAATAAGCGGGAATAAGTGGAACTGGAATGGAATGCCATACGTTTTCCATATGTGTGTGTGCGTTGATGGGAGCGTGCATTGGTGGTGGTGTTTTTATGCCGCGTTTGTTTTGTGCGGCAAAACAGGCGGCAAAATTAAGACGGCTGCCGCGTGCAGGCGCGAGCGAGAGAGGACGAGAGAAATAATCAATAATTTGCGTGATAAAAAGAGGGGAATAAAAAGTGCAAGAGCAGTTTGTTTATTTCATGATGCCAAGTAAACAACAATTCATAACGGTAATGCGATACGCGTGTAGAATTTTATTTTCTTTTCATTGTTCTTCTCTTCTGTTGCGTCTTCACTTACTGTAACTCTTCATCCAATTCCTCGGCGCTGTTGTATTCGGCGTTTTCCAAAATGACTTCCTCCGTTTTGATGGCCAGCGGTACCGAAGACATCTTTTCTTTTCTGTGTGTATATATATAAATATATTGTTTTTAACTGTTGTTAGAGCAGGACACACACGTGCTTCACTTTGCTTCTTTCTTTTTTATTCCTTTTCGTTTTGATTTTGTTTGTTGCTGTTCTGCCACTTCGCTTTTTGTTTTTCACCTGGCCTGCTCGCATACATGCACATGCACATATACGCGCAATCGATCGTTGACTTTTTTCTATATGTGTGTGTTGTCGACTTCGTCGTCGTCGTCAGCTGGTCTTCTATCTGCTTCTTCTTGCTGCCTTCAGCTGCTTTTTGTATTTAGCGGCAAATTGTTAGGCAGACAGACACATACACTAACAAACAAACACAGCGCGCACTCACACTCGTACGCATATGTAAGTCGTACTCTCTCTCACTTACTCACACAATTCAAAACAGCAGGCGGCGCGCCGTAAAAAATTTTGCGCGACGTCGTCGACTTTGTTGTCGTCGTTGCACAAACACTAGAAGTTTTCACAAAAATATTTGTTGTTTTTGCAATTTTTATTTTGCTACACCATTTGGCATGTACACATACAATCTCATAAACACCGATAGATTGATATATATATATAGAGGCAAAATGGTTGCACTGTACGTATACCGCGTTTTTCACTAAAAGCGTCCGCGACGCACGTCCGCTCGGTTCAAATATTCAACGCAAAATAACAGCTGTTAAGTCGCACCAGTGTGCCCAAATTTGCCATGCGTATATATACCAATTATCTTAACAGCAAATACTGTAGGGTTAAGGGCTGAAAGTCGACCAACGGCCAATTAAGGATATAAAACATCGACTCTTTTAAAAACAATTTATTGAAATTGCTTAATGTTATTCAAATAAAACTGCGTAATAAAACTCTTGCTGATTGGCTTTAAATTTGAAATTCAACAGTGAGCTGTGTGACCAATATGTTTAAATATGTAACGCTTAAATACTGTCATGCGGCGAAAATGGCGCTGTGAACTAACATTTCTCTTAAGCTGTTAAGTTAACAGTGAACAGTATACATTGAATTTAATTTAAGAAAGTGGTGAGGCCTGCTTTATAGTTTGTAAAATTTTTCAAAGTGAAAGCTAAATAGTTTTCTTCATCACTATACAATTTTTAATCGTAATAGAACTAATGTTTCAATTATCCGTTAATAAAAATTTAAATAGGGAGTTCAGTGTGACCAAGCTCTTTTACGCTAGAAATATCTAATATGAATCAAGTATTTGCCAACATTTTTGCCGCTCTTTGACTGTTAAAGTAACAGAGAGCGGTAAACATATACTGTTGCGCTGGCGAGAGTGCTCTAACAGTGCTGTGAAACGACTGCTACAATTAGTATGCAGCCAGCTATTTTTGAGTATTTATTTATTTTTCACACAGCCAGCCGGTGGGTCAGAATATCGTTGCACTCTGAAAAACGAACTAATTGAATTAAAAATCTTACGAAAATGTCTGCAACGTCCAATCAATGGGAAGTCGTATCTAAATCGCGGAAACAAAAAAATCTAGAAAAGAAAGTAACTGCTCATACGGAACAAAAAAGGATTGCCGCCCAGCTGCCCAAGCTGGAAGAGCTGTGTAAGCCGTTTTAATTATCTTAGTTCATTAATACATACATATATCAACTTGTTTTCTTAATTTTAGTGCCGTCACAGCAATATCGTAACTTATTTGTCACCAGCAATTTAAACAACAACAACAATAACAAATCGGATTCACCAGCTAAATCCACGTCAAGCAATGCATCGGCCTCTTCCAAAAGCAAATCGCCACGCAAGACAAATACGAATGCGGCGAAATCAAGTGCATCAGATGCGGCGAAAAAGGTACCGAAACAAGCGGCAAAGGTGAAAAGCTTAGAACAAGCAATGAAACTGATAACGCCTGACGATTTCGCCGCACAGTTGGAACAGGTGAAAATCAGCTGTCCGGGCTCCAAGTTGCGATGGCTGAGCAATGTAAGCCAATATTTAATAAGAGTGAGATGTGTGCTATCCGGCCTTACGCCTTATAATATTTCAGTCATTCTTCGTGTATTGTTTCATATTTCATATTAATTTCTGCTATAATTTTAGTAATTAATAGAGTAGATACTTATTTTTGATTTTCGGGCCACCAATATTTTAAATTTATATATCATTACTTTATATAGTATTACAAAATTTGTAATATGACTTTTTTCTCTCCAGATTGCCAGCTATTTAAATGGTTCACTCTCCTTTGATTGTGATCCTACGTTCTCAGGTCGCAGTGCCCAATATCCCAGCAATTTAGCCAGCGCAGCCTTAAAGCAGTCTCTGTTAGACTTTCTTCGCAGCGTGGGTGAAACCAATTTAGAGTATTTCTTCTACTCCCTGCTGGATAGTATGGCCACAGAACTGAACAGTGGACAAAATGTCGTTGGCTATAAAGTTGTGCTGCAGTTGATCGGACAAAATTGGCCATCCATTTGCTCGCATAATATGGCCAAAACAGCTCTATTACGTAATTCGTATCAGAATCGATGCAATATCTGTTTGAGCATCCTCTGGGCCATCGGTCAAGGTGGTCATCAATCCCTGACAGAGGGCGTTAAGGTGTGGCAGAACCTAATGCTGCCCAATCTGGAGCTGAAAAGTTTTACTAAATTTGTCGTGGAACATATTGAGCGGGTTCTTAATGCAGCTGCAGCTCGCAAAGATGAAACGTTGCAGATTAATCAACAGGAGTTTTTTGCCTGCTACAATGCACTGAATGGAAATTTTAACAACTTTAGCAAGGAACAACAGCAGAGTCTTAAACGAAGCGCCAAACAGTTATTGGTGAGTACCGATAACGATATTTCGACATTTTATATCCGGCCAGGGATACAAACTGGACAACAATAATTAATGCTTACAAAATTTGAGATTTATCTATTTAATTTGACCCTGATTTGATAGATTTTATTATATCTATGAATAGTTGAGTTAACACACAATTGCTTGAAATATGGTTAACGCAGCATATCTGCCTTAATAAGAGTAGAGATTCAGTTTGAGTAGCCCTGTCAGCTGAGTTGCCAGGGCTACAAGGTAATGATTGGCGCGTTTTCAACTTAAAATGTAATTAAATTTTAAACTTTATAATAATAACGTAAACTATTTACGGTTTGCAGCAACTATACATTGCCAGCCCTGTGAAACAGGCGAACATTTTCCTCACACTTTTACGAGAGATTAATTCAATCAAACAGCGCACGGAGATCGAAGGCTGCATTAAATGTCTGCTGAGCAGCGGAGCGAATGATTGTTTTAAAGTGTGGCGTATGAACTACAAAAAACAGCAAATTGCAAGCTTAATACTATTGCAGGTTATAAGTAAGTCTAAAAACACAATTTATGGAAATACATTTTTTTTATTACTTATATATTTTATTTGTCAGATAGCGATTGGACGGACACCACCAAGGACTTGGCACAGTCAGACGCATATCATTCATTTCTACAGGATGTAAAGAATTTAAACAACGAATTGCAAGCAAACAAACGCAAAGATATTTGTGTTGACGATTTAGAAGCAATCTTAAAGGTAAGTTAATTAAATTGTATTTTTAAGTTTTAACTGTCAACTTGTACCATAAATAAGTTTTAAGAAACCTATCTGGTCACACTGTTCTACTGGCACAGCTGTTAGATTTGTGTGTACGATTCAGCTGTGAATGGTCAGACGCCATTGTGTACACGTTGCGCACTGATTGTCAGTTTATTGCAAGTGGCTGCACAACAAAAAAAGTATTTTTCGCCTTAGCGTATTTGTGGCTTAGAAATTAAAAAAAGAAAGGAAAAACAAACATTTCCAATTGGAATTTTGCAATTAGTGCTCTAAGTACTTTGCGCCAATTCGAAAATTAAATATCAGACGAAAATAAAAAGGAGAAAATCAAAAAGACGCTGACGTCGACGTCGCGACTGCTGCTCTACGTCATATTCGCCGGGCGCACACTTAATTTCTCTTTTTAAAGTGCGTTTAATTAGGCGTGTGTGTGTGCACGTTTGTAAATGTGTATGTGTGCGTGCATTTTTTCAGTCATGGCGTTGCCATGCGGCCGGTCCACTTTTCTTACCGCTGTTTTTGTGTGTGCGTTTGTGTGTGTTCGCAATGCTTATCGCACGCAGCCGCTTTTTATGATGATCCAGCGTCACTTTTTTCTATGGATGATGTGTTATAGCTGCGATTGGCTATTGCCCTCGCCTCAACCTTCCCTCCGCCACTGCAGCACACCCTTGTTGCTTGCGCAGCAGCAGCAGCAGAAGCGCTGAATTTTATTTTCTGCTCGAGATAAGAAATGCTCATGCGATGCTCTGACCGCTGCCCACTGCCCACGTCACTAATGCCAACGCAGAGGGCAAAGGAGAATAAGATGAAGCAAAAGCAGAAGTAGAAGCACGCCAACCACTAACAAGTTTTTTCTTTTTTGATTGTCTGGCCATTTTCTTGCACGTGGCGTCGGCTGATTTTCTCTTTTGCTTTCTACCTGCTGCGTTGTCAATTTTTCATGTGCAAATGTGTATTTTAATATGTACATATATATTAATTTTTTTTGACACCTTTTTATCGCTACAAAAACTTGCGGATTCTACAGTTCATTCAACTTGTTTGATTATCAACAGTTGTTGTTGCTTTACATGCTAACTCATGTGTGTATGTAAATACATGCATATGTATGCGATTACCGCTATTGCTTTTTATTGTATTTTAAAACAATATCAAAGCTAAAGCTGTTAGCGTTCTCTCAAGTGCTCGTGCTCTCTTCGTCTCTCTCTCAATTGTTGGTGCTCTCTGAACTGCTCTCTTTGCTGCTCAGCTGATGACGCGTCATCAGATTTTTGTGGTGCGCCCTTGTGACGTATACAGCTGCTGCTGCCGCAGTCGCTGCTTCTGCTGCGAACTGTTATTTTTTTTGATGCTTTATCTTGCGCGCCTTTTCCCTAGCCCGCATTCGCGTTTGTGTCAAGCTGCGCGCTGTTTGCTACGTGCAAATTGTTTGTGCATTTTTGTTGTTTTTAATTGCGACTCTCACTGACCGCTGAACTTGTCTGCTTCTTGTTCGTCTTACTTTTTAATTGCGACTCGATGACAAACTTGAAGCTTTTGCAAGCTTAAATGCAAAAAAATTTGTTTTTTTTTTTTTATATATTTGTCGCGAATTACTTTGAATAATTGCAATTGGAAAACGTGAAAACAACAACATCAACGAAACTCATTAATATTTATTGGATATTTTTTACGACAGCAGTTACTGAAATACTCGCAGCGGCAGAAATTTAGTTGAAATTATAAAACAAAAACAAATAAATATATAAAATTATGGCTCAGGTTAAACCGAAACAAAGCAAACAGGGCAAACAAACGCCTGCTGCCAAGAAGGTAATAATAACACGTAAACCCCTCTCACCTCTACCTTCACCTCTTTCAGTTTAAACAGCTTTTAAAGAATGACTTAATATGCTTGCTCTCTCGTTCTGTCGCTCTTTCAGTCAACTCTTAACTGTCATCTCTAACTGCTCTCCCCTCTCTCTCTCTCAACTTACAGAACGTGCAGGAGAAGAGCAGTGCACAACAGAAAAAGAACAAACAGAATGCTGCGTCGCAGAAAAAGAAATGCGGCTGCTGTAAATGGACGCTGGGCAGTATCTTTATCATTGCCCTGATTGCGGGCGCCCTCTACTATGACACCGAGGTGAACGGCAAAGGTGTCTTTGAGAAGTCCGCCACTGGCAAAGTGTTGAAAAACGCCGGCGTTTTGCCACAAGTGCAACGCGGCTGGTATGTAACAATGGGCGCCGGCGCACGCGGTTACAAATGGGCCGAACAGCACATTCCGCCCTATGCCCAGCCGGCGATCAAGACGAGCATCGATGTATGGAAACTCGGTCGCAACGCTTGCTGCAATGCCTACACGAATGGCCTGAACTACTGGCGTACCAAGTGGCCGGCGGTGGCTAAATTTGTGAGTAGCTGACATCATATTCGGTTAACTATGTTCGTTTTGAAGGCTTAACGGTCAAGCAGCTTCTTTGTTTTGCTTATGTTCTGACTGCTGGCAAACTGGTTTGTTGCGCTGCTGACTCTTCGCCCCTTTCCTGTTTTGCCACACGCTTATCTTATCTCTCACTCTCTCCTTTGTGTTCACTCGCCCATACAGATTGATCAATATGTGCCCAATTTCTCGCATAAACTGGAAGCCTTCGCCGCGGGCGCCAAGGACCTGGCCGTCAACAGCTACGACAAATCTGCCACCTTAATCAAGGAGAAGGTGCTGGTGTAAGTGTATTTGGCATACTATACTAGATTGTAATGAGATATTGATATATATTAGATTGTAAGGCGAATGTATGTATTATATAGATAGATAAATACTTATGTAAATAATACATCAAACGTACGGGGTAACAGATGCAATCCGAGAGTACTTTGCGATAATAGTTTATTTTGTTTCCACAAATGGTATATGATAATGTATTTTTATTTGTAAATTGTACACAAATTGTCTTGCAAGAGATGTAAATATAGGTTTTATAGAGCTTTCTAAGGGGCATGACTTTTGTTGATTGATATTATGTCATCTACACACTTCAATCTTAATTGACTTATAATTGTAGTTAAAGTGTTTTCATCTCTTTATACATGTCATATATACTATATGTATATCTTTAATATCAGTCTACATTTATTATAATATGGTTTTTGGTTTTGCAGTGGTCGCTTCTCACCGGAGAACATTAACCAGGCGCTGAACCAGACTCGAAATGCGGCGCTCGAGTATTACAATCAGTTCCACAAAAAGGTCGATGCGTATGCCAAGCTCAAATGATTCTAAGCGTCCGGAACGCTTAGCAAAACACAGCAACAACAATAGCAACAGCGGCATCATGCACAACAACAACAACACATCATAGTCAAAACAATATAAAAAAATAAGAAAAAGAAAACAATTTATAGTAAAACCCACTTTAATGCAAACCCTTTCGGTATATAGTTTAAACAAAAAAAACCAACAACATATTGAAGTAACAGCAAATGTTAAAGCTCTGTTGACCGTAGCAGTCATGCGCCCCTTTCAGGGCGTTCGTTTTTCTTATGGCAAAAGCATTTGCTGTTGCTTGTCTACAAACTATAATACAAACAGTTACAATTAGTAAATTAAACATAATCAGCATTTAGTTGTAATGTAAAAAAAGATAAAACCCAAAAAAAAAATTGTATATTTTGTAAATGAGCTCGCGTGACGCTTGTATACTTTCTGAAGTCGAGTTTAACATTAAAAAATTCAAATTGAATTTTGTTTAAACAATGAGAGGGAAAGGACAACGCGTCGCGAGTTTCGTTTTACAGATTTTTTGGTTACGCAATATTTTCAAAATGTTTTCGACACAAGTTTCTCCAAATTTTGCATTTCAACGAATTTTCATGTACAAAAAATTGTTTTGTGGCGCGCAACGAAATAAAATTAAGAAAATGAAAACAAAAAACAACAGCAACAAAAACTTAACTAACATTTCCAATTGCATTTCAGAGCAACAAAAAACGAAGTGAATTATTAAATAAATATATAAATTAATTTAAAAGAATTTAGCTACTTAGATATTTAAAGGTTTCTTTTTTTAAATATTTATCCTAATGTAGTTTATTGTCTGTGCATGGGAACTTTTTAAAGACTTTCAAATGTGTTTTAGTCATTTTTCCTTTTAAACTTTTTTCAAGTTTTAATTCCATTTGTAAATTAAACGTATTGAAGGATTTTTGCATAAATAAAAGTTGAAGTGGAAAAAGTAAAAAATGGAAAACGTATTTTCAATCTTATTAAATGGTAATGTTAACTTTAGGTTTTTGTAAACGAAAGCTGGGATATTTTAGAGCATTTGTACTAAATGTTAACTCGTAGCACGTACAACAACCACTGTAAACTACCAATATTTTTTAGCACATTTTTATTAAATTTTAGCTCATCACCATTGCAAACTAACAGCAGGATATTTTAGTACACAGTTACTAAATGTTAAGTCTCAGCACATACAAAAGCCAGTGTAAGCTAGCAGCAATATGTTTTAGTACATCCTTATTATCTAGCGCGTACAACATCCACTGTAGACTAAATGAAATATTTTAGTGCACTGAAGAAAATGTAAATATATTATGTATTAGCACGTACCACAACCACTGTTAGTAAGAAATTGTGGTACACGATATCTGACACTAGAAAAATGCATTGACTGTAAATTGCTTACAGAGAACTGGTTGCTTTTTTATTTTGGTACATGGAAAGGGTACGCTTAACATTCGTATGTTAACAACGAGGGGTATTCTTAATAAGAGGAATTAGACTTCCCCCAATTGAAGACGTTTTTACCACATGGGGTACAAATTTGGACAGAGGTACCTTTAGCGTGTAATAAGTATATAATTATATAACATATTTAGAGAAAAGGCTAATAGTCCCATTAATTTTCATAAATTTTCATAAATAGTCAATGTGAAAAAAATAAATGGTACAAATAAGAAGTCATCCATTAAACGGGTTGCTGTTATTATCAAGGTACACACAACGCCTATTAACAATAATGTTGCGAGCTAACAGTTTGCAGCTGCTCGACCCCAATTGCAAATTCGCCGCAAATAACATTTTCGGAGTAGTCGTTCGGTTGTACTTGCTTCGGTTGTTGGACGCACTTCGGCTTAGTTTGTCGGCCGAGATGTAAGTGTACGATGTTCGGCGGGAATGATTGAAAAGCTTTATGCTTTCGTGCAGTCTGAAACGAATGTCAATTCGCGTCGCACGTGTTTCGGATGCAAGGCATCTTGTGGTTGTCGCAGTGTCGTCTCGGAACGCCGTGCGCCACGTCCTTTTGCGGCGAGCGCTTTGAGTGCATTTCTGATCAGCACAAATCGCCGACGTCGTCTTCGCTGTCTTCGCTTTTGCGGTCGTCGCAGTCGCAGTCGCTGTCGCTATCGTCGTTACCGTCGCCGTCGCCATTGTCGTCGCCGTTACCACAAAGGCCAAAGCAGCGAAAGTGCATGCAAAACGTAGTGAAAGTTGTGCAACACGTTTAAACGTGTCTGCCAAACAGTGTGACCAACTGAGCTTCTGTGTGTGTGAGCGTGTGTGTGTGTCCCGTGTGCTGTCACATTTAAATAAATAACGTACGAAAAATAGAAAAAAAGAAAACAGCTGTTTCACGTCCTGCAAATGCAATGCAGCTCAATGGACATTCTCGGTATGTGCCACTAAATTCCTTGTAAGTTATTTATGTACAGTAAAGCGTCTAATATCGAATAGCTTGCAGCACATTTTCCAAATTCTGTCTTCTATTCCATTTTGTTTAGCTTTTATACATTTTCTTATTTTATTTCTATCGCTGACTAAATTCCTTGTTTGTAATTTATGTATAGTAAAGTGTCTAATAACAAACAGCTTGCTGGACATTTCAGCCATTTTCTTTATATTGTGACTGTTTGTGCTGAACAAATACTTCAGCCGGTCTGTCAGGAAAATTTGTTATTCTTTTGCTGCAATATTGTTGCTCTTTTCGTTATGGCTATGCAACAAAAAAAAAAAACAGTTTTTAAAATGCATACGGTCTCCCGAATATAAGTATTTTGAGAATGCTAACAGCTATAAGTCTGGAGTCTGCTAAAAAAGGAAAAATTATCCTTTTTATAATTTCCTTAGGTTTTTCTTTTATTTTTAAATTTTTTTAATATTTTAATTTTGACATAAATAAATAAATATTATTAAAATAAATTATTTTTATTATTATTTTAATATTATTTAAAATTCAAATTATTTTTATTCGAACTATGGAGTCTATTATGTATAGGGAAATGCCTAATAATAATATTGTATAATTATTTATTTTTAATTTTTATATTTAGTTTATTTTTTTTTTTAAATCAAAAATTTACTCAAAAACAATTTAGCTTTGTAATGCCTAAAGAATGTATTTCGACCAAAAGTTTTAGTTTACTGTACTAATATAGGTTAATATATAAATATAGGTGAAAAGCCTATATATTTCGGAAATTTGTACCTGCTACTCAATGCAGTGAAATGAAATTAAATAACAGTTGGAAATCTCAGAACATAAAAAGTCTTCTGTATATCTTCTAGTGACTTCAGTTATCTACTTCGAGTTTTTACTGTATAAGCCTTTACATTATCTAGAAAACTTTTTAAAGGACTTAATCATTAAAATGTAAACTTAACTTTAAATAAGAAAATATTTGTCTTAGAAGTATAGAAGACCTTCCTGTGCTTTGCTGTTGTCCAATCGATAAATCGAAGTGCTTGCATTTGCTTAAGCGTGATTTCACTGTATTTTCTCAATTTGCAAGACTTGCACTTTCCCTTTGCCCCTCTTTTGGAGAGGAACCACAGCACGTACATGGCTCATTTCACTTGCATCTACCTGTAACTGCAACTCCCCCTCTTGGTATCCGATCAGGTATCTCGGAGTTAGGGACACGGGTAGATTACCCCTATCTTCGCTTACATATAAATCAAAGTAAAATATTTATTTCACATCGGAAATGAAGTCAGACAAGCGACGTGATTTAATGCTAATCGAAAATGCATTTGTTACAATTTTTGCAGCGCTGCAACGAAAGGAAAAAGTTAGCAATAAATATACGTACTTTCAGATACACTTACGGATATATATATACATACTTATATATGTATATATATTATATAGATATATTCCTTGAGCAGTTTTCCTTGCTCGCTACTTTGGAAACTTTGTCTCAGCTGCTGATTTCTGGGGCGTGATCCCGCACACTTTTTCGCTGTCTGCTGCCGTTCGCCCCATTTTTTTTATTTGTTTCATTTTTGTGTCTTTCACGAATCGAAGTTTGGATTTTGATTTGAAACTTTGGCCAAGTTACTTTTAACTTATCTTCTTTTGATTCCGCTTGGCGTTGTTTCCGCCATGCCCTTGATGAGCGCATGTCCATGTCCATGTTCCTGTCCGTTCTCCAAGTGGACAAGTGAGTGGGAGCCGCTCGTTGAGTGATTTGTTGATACTGTCGGAGATTTTTCCTTTCTTTAGTGAGTGACAAATGATGTTAGTTATTCGTGTTAAAACATTTCAACCGCTGACTGACTTTTGTTTAGCGTTTCCCGCTGACAGCTAATCTCGGATATGTGAAACAATCTAAAGGAGTGATAGGGGAGAGAAGAGAGGAGAGAGGAAAGAAGAGAGTGGAGAGAGCAAAGAGCAGTGAGAAAAGAGGACACAGAAGAGAGGAGAATGAAGAGATTAGAATGAAAAAAGGAGAATGAAAAGGGGAGAGGAAAGAGGAGAGACAGAACAAAGAAGAGAGAAGAGCGTAAAGAAATGACAGATGAGAGAAGAGCGAAGGGAGGACAGAGAAGAGAAAAGAGAGGTGAAGCAAGAGACGAGAGAAGAGAGTTGATAGAATATAGATGAGAACAGATTGGAGAGAAGAGAGAGAGAGAGAGAGAGAGCAGCGAGAAGGCAGAGGAGAAAGAAGAGAGAAAAGGAAAGAGAGAAGTTTAGTTTACATTTCCATTGCAGTTTGCTTTTCGTCGAACTTGCAAAGCAATCCTGGGGAAGCTGTTGTAAATACTTATATATAGTTTCTAAGGAAATTCTGTTTGCTCCTTTTTTTTTATATTTATAAAAAATTATAGCGACTTTATTAAATGTGTGTTCGAAGAAGTCCTTGTGATATATGAAACTAAAAGAAATGGTTTTGGATTACAAAGAAAAAACATTTTGATATATATTTAAATGTTGCGGGAAATTACAAGGAAATGCAAAAAGGAAGCTTTTAAACTTTTTTTTTCTTTTTTAATGAATTGTATTTCTGATCATTTTCTTTATATACATGAATTTGCTGTGTAATCTCAAATTTGAACTTGAAATTGAAATTTGCAATGAATTTTCAACCGCTGAGCAGCCAAAGTCAAGTGGCATCAATTTCGCCTACATCCCTACTTGATCTGTGTGACTTAACACGAGCTGCTCATTATACGCTGCCTCCATTTGACAGACACCCACACCACACAGTTGCCTTTGTTGAGTTTGGTCAGGAAATGTTTATCTGGGATTTGGTAATTTCCAAAAAGAAAGTTTGCTATTTATGTGTTAAATATTTGCTGTACAAATTGTAATTAGTTTCGGAAAATGGTCTGATGGCCACTCGTGTGGGCGTGAAAATGTCCAAATTTGACACGAAAAATCAGTGTGAGAATTTTGTTCAGTTAAGTTGAGCTGCGTCTGAGTGGGAAGAAACTTGCAACAATTTTCATTGCTGCGGCATTCCAAGACGCACAGTGAAAACTGGAATGCGTCGTTTTGGCAGTTACTGCTCGTTGCTCGTTGCCCGTTGCCCGTTGCCAGGCATCAGACAACGCTGGTCGAGGTAGTGGGAGGACAGCAATTAATTAGACGCCGCTAAAAACAATAACAAAAGATGAGCTTGTCGCTCATTAATCTTATGACCTCATAAACACCACAAAGGACACATGTCACGGGCTTAAGAGTAGTTCGACATGCCGTTGGCACGAACAACGCCGCCCGCTACAGAGCTCAACAGCGGATGCGCTCCACTTCGTCAATTCTCACGTGCTTTGAATTGAATTTCGGTTTTACTCACACTCTCTCCCTCGCTCACTCTCTTTTTGTCTCTTTGTCTCTATTTACTTCTTTTTAATACCCTGTGGGAAAAGTAAATGGTTAAAACAGGTAGATTGTTAGGCATGTGTGGAAAGAAGATTGTAGCAGGCAGATGGATAAAGCTAAGTGTATATATATATGCTGCAAATATGGCTAGATTGGGTAAGAGAAAGATATAGTTAAAGAAGGGCGGAATAGAAACTCACTTCTGAGATATAGTAGGCTAAAGCTACGTATAAAGAAACCTTATGAAAAATAAGCAAAAATTAATTATTTCTTCTTATAGTCACTCTCTAAACTCTGTAAACAGATGTTTATAATAGACATGAGCATAACATAGAAGCATTAAGAATATAATAGAGTGAGTAGATGTACTTAGCTCTGCACTCAAAGTACCTTTTCAAAAGGCCATCTATTCGGTTTGAAAAATGACTTTTATTTATTTCAAAGTGCAGAAAATGTGTGAAAATTGGCAAATACTTAGAGTCAATTCACCTGCAGCTCGTATGGCAAGCTGTCTGAAGCTGGATTGCTGGCATCTTGACAATGGCTTGTCATAAAGTCAGATTTGGTTATAGCGCAGTATTTAAGATAGCGAGCTGTAAAATGGAGACAGATGAAGGTATTCTTTATTATTATTATTAATATTATTATTATTGCTATATAGGTTAATATATATACATATATATATCTCAAGTACTAGAATCGTCAACAACATTTGCAGCGTCGGTTAGTGTTCTCTATAAAAAAACATTCTGGAGTTATATATTTGATCTGATAAAGAATCAATAATTGCGAAGTTAAAATATATTTCTTTTATCTATTTCTTAGAATTCTATTTGCTTAGAATTTCTCGGAGTTCTCAAGAAGATTTTATTTACAGATTTTTTTACTGAGTATCTGCTGTTTTCGCATATCCTTCGCTGCTTTTATGGTTAGCTTTTGCGGTTACCTGGCGCCGTACCGTTGTCCAGGTGATTAATGTGTAGACGTGGCTTGTTTAATTAACTTGTATTTACACACTCACACAGATACAAACACATGTATGGCATGGGCATTCACACAGTCACACTTAGCTACTCACACACTCATTTCTATTTCAAATGATACCCTAATGGCCAACACTTGTTAACTGGAAGCGTAGAGATTTTGTTTTGGGCTTGTTTTGCTCGGACGGCTTTTTTGCTTACGGCAAATACAAAAGGCCAAATTGGAATTGCGGTTGAAACGAGTGTAAATGAATACACTCACTTGACAGCGACAGCCACGGCCACAGCCATAGCTGAGCAGCTCTGACTGCTATGAATATGCTGTCTCACTTTGCTAAGCAACTAATTTAATAAAGTGATTACAGCCATCATGAATTGCTGTATTTACGAGTGCGAAGGCAGTCAGAAAGGATTTGACTGACGGAAGCTGGAAATTAGAGACGATTTGCGCGTAACTAGGAGAATATGTAATTTGGTTATTGACCTGACTTGACCCGAAGACGTAAGCCAAATATATTAGGTTACTATATTATAATTAAATAATTTCTATTCAAGCTTTCTTCGTAGCTTATGCTCCAATTGATTTTTTCGAATCACAGCTTCACAAGATATATTTATCGATATCTATAATGAAGTCTTATTCATACAAATGCATTATTTATTTAAGAATATCCTTTCTCTTTCAAAGTACTACCCTTCAGCGTTTTCTCAATCCTTAAAGCAAAAAAAATCATTTTTGCCTTCAGGTTCAGCTCCTCTTTGTTCCTTACGTAGGTCTTTTCTGTTGAGATAAATAGGAAAAATCACAGAGAGATAGGCCTGGGGAGTAGCTGCGGCGTCATTTTTGTCTTAGAATTTGCCCAAGAATTTGCTATAGATTCTTGGCACCATTGTGTGGTATAGACAAATCGTAGACGAGTCAAAACACACCCAAGCAAAATGGCTAGACTTCTTGGCATAGGTAAGAGAGACGACTAATAATATAACAGCTCAAAAAGTAGGAAAAATTTGCCAAACTTTTGAACAAACTTCGGATATCTTAATAGCATTTTATCTATCTGTAACTAACGCTACTTACATATGTATCCATAGAACTCTATAATCTTTATCAATAATTCCATCTAAGCATCCTTTTATCTCTCTATGCAAGTAGTTGCCGAAAGAGTCATCTTTTTAGCTATATATCAACTTACTCGATATTTAATATTTGCTATTTATCGATATTCGTAAGCCAACTGCAATGATTCTTATAAATAGAATTGAGTTCTTATAACTTAATGCTCATATCTGATTTTTCTAAAATTCATTAAAGGTGAATCTTCGTTCGATTTGCCTCCTCCGTAAAATATATATTCGCTTTTAGCTAATTATAAGCCAAACTTAATCCCATTTAGTATCAAAGTATCAATAATTTAATTTGGTCAGTGATTTCTGTGATGGTTTCGAATTTACTTTTCTATTTATATAAAATGCAAATTAATTTTGAGTAACCTGCCAAAAAAAAGCTAACACAAAAACTGAAAATGTTGTAGATTAGTTTTCTATACGCTATTACCATGCATCAATTGCAAAACTGCATTCGCCCAAGGACACAATTTTCACATGGCATGCATTAATAATTTTGAACAAACGAAAAAAAATTGTACTCGGGTGCCAAATATCGAAAATCGCCTTACCAAACAGAAAGAGTGAGCGAGAGAGAGAGAGGTGAAAATAAAATAAAGTTCGACTACTAAAACGAAAGCAAAAACAAAAAACAGTTTGGGCGCCATTTGCATATTGATGACGCTCTTTTGGGGGCCTTTCGTTGTGTTTTATAATTAAAGCAAAGTTTGTTTAAACTTAATTTTCGGTCGCAACTTTTACAAAATTTCATTAAATTAGCATCGAGCCGGGGCACGGCATAATTGAAGTCAACTTTAATAGGGCCCAGACACAATTAACACAAAGCTTCCATTCACACCCAAAATGGCTGTATAATTAATAAAAAAAAGTAGCCAAAGTATATAGTAATACGATTCAGTCGAGTGTTGTAAATTATAAATGAATTGAAGATTAAATTATGAATAGATTGAAGACTCACTACAAAGCACTAGAATCTTTTGTTTCCTCAATATTTTCTCTTATTTAATTTTCTCTTTTTATTCAACATTTAATTGAATTTATATATCAAAGGCAGCTTAGGGATATAGTAATACGATTCAGTTGAGTCTTATACATTTAAAATATATTTTCATTAAATTTAATTTTATATCTCTTCAATATTTTCTCTCATATTCTCTTATTCAATATTCAATTGAATTCATATTTTTTTGTTATTCATATTTTAACGTTCGAATTGCGGCTTTGCTCGTTTTAAAATTCGCACACTCTCGATACCATAATTAATGTATTTAATTTCATATTTTTCACAATGGCTCAAAGTGAATATTCTTGTTTTATTTTCATTTAAATATTTGAGTTGACTTTGATGAGCGTTGCTGTATTTGCTTTTCGGCTTACAGTTATATTCCTTTTGATACTCTGTTTGTGCAATCGACAAGGCTATATATGGTTTTCTATGAAGCCTCATGATTCGAACGAGGCGAAGAGTTCGTTTATATTTGTATGTATTATATATGCATATAATTGAAAAATATTATATAAAATATAAATATTATTTATATTTATTTCGTATATTTATTTTTATATAAAGCATTAGAAACATTATTCGAGAAGGTTTTATATATACAGTCATGGAGCTTTTAGAGTCGCATCTAATAGGAGAAGATGAAGAAGTGAAAGGATGCTTATTATAGTTAAAGGTATAAGAAGAAAATATTAGTTAAGAGTCTTCATTCAATCATGGATTTACCTATATGCTGTATATCAAAGAATTTAAAAAGATTTCTCATATTAAACTATATTACTTATCTACACCAACTACATTTAGTAACCTGTGTTGGTTAGGACTGTTTGATAGATTTTGACTATATGTTCGTAATCTATAAATATTTGAAAATTTTTTAGAAATAAAAAATTCCTTGGGAGTTAATTTTCGACAAACTTCAAATAAAGCCCTGAACAACTCTCTTCTATGTAATATAGGTAAAGTTAACAGAGTATTGCCTAGTCAAGTAGTTTTTTATGATTCGCTATATCAATGTTTATGCTTCCCACATGTTTTCGACCTAAAGGTCTGATTTATTTATTTTCTTTTTTCGCTCTGAAATAATGATGTATTTCTTTACTTATGAGTATTTTTTTTATAACATGCCAGCACCAACAACTGCATAAATACAAATAAAGACAGAGTGAGAGAGCTTTTTGTATAATTTGTCTGAAACATTGATTGCTCAGACTTATAAGCGCAAAATGCCCAAAATCCAATTAAAATGTTAATTTTTGCGTAAACAATAACAAACAATGCAAATTTCTGAGTGCCGAGTGCACGGGTCAAACTACAAGCTGACCTTAACATGTACCATGTACCATATTACACAACCAACAACAACAACAATGACAACTACAATGTGAACAACTCACACACACAGAGAGACAGGGAGAGAGAGAGAGAGAGTAAGAGAGATAATCAAGGCATTTAAATACTTTAATATTACCAATGCTGCTCTCGCTTTCTCACTCCCTCTGGGCTATAATAAATGATATTGTTGTTCTGGTTGCGGTTGGTATTGTGTTTGTTGTTGTTGCTGTTGGTGTTATTGCGTAATGAGCTGTTTGGGCCGTTGGGCGCCAATCAAACAATGCGCCAAGTGGATATGAAATTAACACGCGCCAACTGCTTAACAACAAAAGACAAACAGTAAATTGTTATTGAAGTAGTAACGGTAAATTTTAATTGGTAATCGAAAAATGGTAAATGAACATATTTATTCAGATCTGTTATAGTTGAAAAAAACGATATATGGTTTAATTATTATGAGTTGGCTGAAAAAGAGACAACTCGATATCATTCTGGAAATTTAAAAAAGACTGAAAGAGAGATAGGGAAAACCATAAGTAATTAGAGAAATAGAATGAGAAAAAAAAGAAAAAGAGTTATTTACATTAGGAATAATCTCGGGGGAACAACTTAACCAAATGAACAAAGACCAAGCTTCACTACGGAGGATCACGCATAACCTTTACCTCAGGTACTGCAAGCGACAGACAAAGCTTATTAGACTGCGAAGACAAAGAGGGAAATAATACGAACAAACCTGGTTAGAAAAAAAGAACAAGTGCAAAGGTGGCAAAGGTAGCAAAGGTGCAAAACTGAAAAACATAGAGGTTCCCCTCTAGAGAGAGAGATAGATGAGATAGATGAATAAATAGATAGATACAAAAGGACAAAAAGAGCTTTTTGTAAGATTAGAGAAAGGATTCTCAGCTAACCAAACACAACTTATAAAGCTTACATAAATTCATGAGACTCGTAAGGAAGAGCGCTGATTAAAATTTCGTTTTTATTTAGCTGCCTGAAAGAAAAATAAAATATTGCTATGCTTGCAAATATTGGCTATATCTAGGAATACTTTTTGGTGCCCAGCAATTTATTTACAAATTCAGTTCTCCCTGCCTCTGTCTGTAAATATATTCATAGATAAATGTGTAAAGTTACGCTAATTAGTTCGCATTCATGTTTTTAGTTTAATTAAATTCTTATACCATTCATCAGTTAGACTTGTCGTCTGCACAACTGTTTAACCAGCAAGCTAATAAATATTTATATAGTCAATTGTTTGATTAACTAACTGCACCAGTGATTAGTTAGACTGATACTGGCAACTAAATAATTGAGTGTTGGACAAGCGATTTTATTTATTTGCCAACGATACAAATTCAAATTAAAATTGAAATCAAAATTGTTGTAGCAATAAATACAACATTTCATAGCATACTTTTGAGCGATGCAGAAATTTGATAAGATTTGATGTTGAAGTTGATGTGTTGAATCTAATTAGATAAATTGATTGTATACTATTCTGGCTCTCCAATTGCAGCTGGTAAATCATGTGGCAATCGACCGAACTATAACAACAATAACAGTAGCGAACGGTAGAGCAATAATTTAATTCATCAAATGCCTCTCTAATCAAGCGCTCGTGTTAAACAATAAGGGCAAATAATTAAGGCAAACAATCTGCAACAAGGATCTGTATGGCCAGGATGGCCAAGTGTGTTAAGCTGCTGCTGCTGCTGCAGCTACTGGCGCTGCTGCAGACAATGATAAATGCAACAACAATGAAGGCGACTTTAATTGCAGCTGCTGTTAGTGCCACTGCAACGGCTACTGCAACTGCAACTGCAACTGCTACAGTCACAGCTGCCGCAACTGAGCCCGAAGCGATTGCCCAGCAACCAGAACAACGCATTAAGTCAATATGTAAGTACACAGCAACACATATGCTTTTATATGTATGTATATCTGCTGATAAATATGTAATATATATATATATATATATATATATATATATATATATATATATATATATATATATATATATATATATATATATATATATATATATATATTTATTTATTTGTCTTCAGTTGTTTGCTCTTAGCTGCAGGCCACGATGATTATTTCTATAAAGCAGGCAACTTGTTATGCCAGGCTGTCTTATTAATCCCTTAACTGGCAATAATATAAATATATATATATGTATATATATATATGCTTATTATTAGCCTACAGCCTGGCCACAATTGGAATTATAAACATACGCTTAACCTGCTGTTTGATTTAATTACTTATGCGCATAGCTAAAATGCTTTATCTTTCCACTGCATTGCCATGGCTGAAGATAGAAATGCAGCTCAAAGATATTATTGTATCTTTTGACCTATTCACTTCAGGCATCTAGAGAAGTTTAATGCTTGTCAGCTGGTCTTTTATATGGCATAAGCTAGCATAAACTACCATATAACGAGTACAATTTGTTCCTTTGTGACTGAGTTGAAGAATTCATTGGCGAACAATGGAATCTTATGCATATTGTCTAAGTGCTACTATGTTTGTTTAAGTTAAATTTCTGATATTTCTGTCAAATTTTGAGCTACTTTTATTTATTATTTTATACATAAAAAAGATATGCCTTTGTTTTAGCAAGTATGAAATTTTATTAAAACAAAGATAACAATAACTAAGCCAATAATTGAATTAAGCTATTAGAACTTGTGCAAAATCTAAAGCATCAGAAAAATGTTTTTCCCTCTGGCAAATGAGTTTTAAAACCCAGTTGAGTTCATTAGTCTAATATATTATTAATAAAAATAAATGAGAAAAATAAAATGAAATTAAATTAATATTAAAAATAATATAATATGAAATAAGCTGCAGTTCAAAATTCAGGCTAGTTTTTAAGCTAGGGTATAATACATCTCATTTATATATTTAATATAAATTACAAATAATAATATAAATAAAGACTAATATAAATAAAACGCTTAAGCAAACGCATTGAGGCAAAAAACAGCTCATCCAAAACTCAAAGCTAAACAAATTTATGTATAAAACGATTTAATCTTTATATGAAGCAAAGTTTTTAGGTCGACAGCGACAAACCAATAAATAACTCAAGCTGCAAACTTTGTCCAAATAGAAATGTATTTAAAAGCACAACAATATTTACTTAAAGACTGAGCAAGCAGCTAGCTGGCAGTTAATTATCAAGGCCTAAGCCTGAAGCATCGGCAATTTTTTTGGAATTTACAGTTTTGACTGTGGACAAAATTAATGAAAGTTTGAAATCTATTCAAAGCACTTGCCAAGCATGTTGTATATCATCGTTCTTATATGCGATGTGACAAAGCCAGCATAAACCATGTGAAATCCTCTTATGCCGATGCTCGAGCCGCTCGCTCCTACACTCAAGTACCAGCATATGTCATTTGCGAAATAAGTATATGCAGAAAACATGCGCTGCTTTTGGGCTTAGAATTTGGTTTTGTTAATGGATTTTGGGATAATATCAAATCAAATATGAATGACAAGCAGAAAAATACTTCAAGTTCGGGCAGGCTCAGCAGCCAGCCGGTCAGCCAGACAGGAAAAAGTGCTGGGTCATCTGAAATATAACTATGTGAAACAAAATAATATATTGTGTTAGCATAAGTAGCAAAAAGATATAATGAAAATGTAATGCTAAATCAAATATAACTCATACGCAGCGTTGGCCACGTAATTCTCTATTATGTTTTTTTCTCTTTTTTTCATGTGTTTGCTGCTTGCCGTTTAATGCAGTAAACGTCTAAATCAATTATGCCGTGAAGGCTGGAATAAAATCTACTTAGCACATGTAGGGCCTTAATTAAATCATGTAACAGGCACGCAGACTGAAAGGCAGGCAGGTCCTTCATGTCTTTTGCATCAAAACATAACTCAGAGAAGCGAGCGAAGCTGCTGTAGCTGTGGCTGCGGCTGCGGCTTTAACGCTCCAAAGAGCCAAAGCCAACGCGCGACAAGGGCTCGCTTTTATGATTATTATCATTGTTGTTGTTGTAGTCAGTCTCTCATTCTCATTTTCATTCTCATTCGCATTCGCATTCGCATTGTTGTTGCAGCTCGTTGTGTGCTTATTGTTATGTTCCACAATTTGCCAGGCGCTGAAATACAAAAAAGTATATATATATATATAAAAGAAATGGCAACAAAAAAAGCTGACGACAAGTGTCGAATCAGGCTTACACACGCACACACACATACACCCTTGTAAAATACTAATTTAAGCAAACAGTAAAAAAAAAGAACAAGAAAAACAAAATCTGAAATGTTCCCCAAGTCTTTAATTCAACTCGCGCCTTAATTGAATTTTTATTATTTTTACAATTTTGCGACAATTGTTTTGCATTTTCTCTCACTCTCTCTGTAAAAAAGGCAACTAAAATTTGTAGTAAATGTTGTTTTTTTCAGCTCTTTGGTTTTTTTTTGACAGTTTGTTTTTATGCTGCGCTTCGCTTAGAATTTTGATGCGCCATCACTTTTAAGTTTGCAGCTAAAAAATGTGAGAAAAGAACTCGATTGGAACAAATCAAATTAGTGCTCAAAATGCACCGAATTTTTTCATTTCAAATTTACATAGTTTGTATAACTATAAAATTCTATGGGAATGTAAGAGAGACTAAAGAAAAACAAAGTACGACAAACACAGAACAGTTGTAAACTGTTTACTTTTCTTGCTAGTATTTGACGCGAGCCAGAGATAGAGGAAGGGAGAGAGAAACATCTGGTGGACATTGAGGACATTGAGGACAAAAAAGGAAAAGAGAGAAAGAAAGCTAGAGTCAGTGAGTGAGAGAGACAGTCACGGAGAGAGAAAAAGACAAGCGAAGAGAGATAAAAATAGAGAGAGTGAGAGAGACAGAGAGAGACAGACAGAGAAGATAGCTGCTGCTTAACTTAATATCATTTGTAGTTTCTAGAGAAAACTAGAGAGAGAAAGAGACAGAAAACTAGAGACAAGAAACTGACTGAAAAAGTGAGAGATGGCCAGAGAATGACATAAAGTAAAAGAGAGCCTAAAACAAAAAATTTGAGAGATCTTACGAGAGAAAAGTGAGGAAAGAAAATTTAACCCCCTTTTTAATTGATAAGTTTTTATCTTTGTCTAAAGCCGCAAAAATAAAGTAATTGGTTCATTAAATAGAGATATTCGAAAGAATATCTTTGTGCTTTGCAATATTTAAGCACATACAAAATAATCTCAGTTATATTTTAAATTAGCCATTACTAAGTTATTATCTGAGTTAATATTTAGCACAGCAGCTAATGCGAATCTGTAGTCAACTTGCAGTCAAAGAACAGGGCACTTGCCCGTCGATATATGGATTTGGAATAGACATTCTATCTTTAACTGCCTGGCAAATTTTTATTGCTCTCAAAAGTATACTGTTCAGCCATTAGAAGTCTCGCTTGGTACTGTTAATATAATTTCCATGGCTAATAAAATAACATTATTTGTAAGTCAATTTGCGTAGACTTTCATTAACCTTTCGCGAAGCATATCAAAAAGTCAACAAATGAGCTAATTAAATTTATATGCACGTAGCAAAAAAATTTGTTCAAGAACTTTGTTGTTTTTTTTCATGTCTGCGTCTCATGTCCTAGAGAGCCTTGAACTTTGGACAGGTTAGGATTAAGGACAAGTAGAAGAAGGGGACATGTGGCGGGTTGGGGTGCGTCGGCTGTCATATTAATTTACAGTCAAGCGAGAAAGCTGATATTAAATTTGATTGCGTGCATCTGTTTGTGACCCTGTTGCCATAGACATGCCACAAGGGTTATCATGCCACAAGGATTAACTGCCACGACTCAAGCATCTACACACGCCCCACTTATCTCTAAGTATTGCTTGAGCAGCGCGTAAATTTTAAGCGAGCACCTCGACAAATCCTTTTCAAGCACATCTCCTGGGCAAAGTTTTCCGCTTCCACTACAAAAATGTGATTTATTCAGTGGCGCGTTGCCATATAAATTTTACAAAAATATTTTGTTAACATTTTTATGGCCGTGAGTTAAAAATTAACTTGTTGCCAGGAGAAACTAAATTTTATACGCGAATGCGCATAAATCACTTTTCGAGCGAGCACAAATTTTACTTCTTACGTATTGCATATTACGTATTACGTATTACGTATTAAGTGTACGCGGCATGTTGTTAATTTTTATGCCACTTTAAGTAGCTGACATATTTTATGACAGCGTGGCGAAGGACAAAGGCGGGCGCTTGACTTAAGTAATTTAAAGTCGACTAATTTGCTAGAATGTGGTTTACGGTCGGAGAACTTTTTTACGCTCTGAATTGAAAGTAATGGTTCACTGGAACAGTTGAAGTACCCACTCAAATGAGCTGAGCTTTAAAGACTTTTGTTTTGCATTTCATGCAGAGCACTGAGCATAAAGTGGACTCAAAGTTGAACAAAATGTGGCAACTGGTTAAGGGAAAGTTGAAACGCAAATTGAACTGAAATTGAAATTGAATTAGATTAAAAAACTAAGATAGGAAAATGATTGCAATCGAATGTTTATGAGAATTTTTTTTGTAATTTTAGTGATGTAAATAAAATTGTATGAAATTGAAAAAAAAGGGCTAGTTGAAGAAGAATTTCCTTGGAAAAAACGATTGAATGTGGGCTAAACAGAATGAGTTGCCTTGACTTTTATTTTTTTAATCTTTATAGAAATTATAAAGAAAATTTGTATTTAAATATGAATTAATAAAATAATGCATTTTTAAATAATTGTTAATATAAAACTTCACTTAAAGTGATCGAAAGTTTAGGAAGTATAATGAAAATAAGTGTTGGATATTTGTATAAGGCTCAGTTTGTAGTTAGTCGATGTTGCCAGGTTAAACTTGTAAATGAACATGAAATGAAGATAAG